TGCCTGAACCCAGGAGGCGGAGATTGCGGTGAGCCGAGATCGCGCCATTGCACTCTAGCCTGGGTAACATGAGTGAAACTCCGTCTCAAAAAAAAAAAAAAAAGAATATACCCAGAGAAAAATGGGCCAAGACATGAATAAACAGAATTAAGTATAGGAAAATGCTTTATTTCACAAATAACTGAATAAATAAACAGTAAAGCAATGAGACAGTATTTTTTGTCAACTGGATCACACACACCAAAAAAACTTACAAGAATTGTAACATCCAATATTAGCAAAAGTGGGGGAAAAAACCTAAAGAAAACTAGTTTGGAGGCTAAAGTGCTATAAGATTTCCTAAAGGTAATCTTGGTGTCTATACGTATCAAAAAATTCACATACATACACATATACTGTTTTTTCACTTCCAAGAATTTAAGTAAAATAACCCAGTAGTGCAGAAAAATGTATGAAGCTTACTCATAACAAAATATAAATTTTAAAATGTTAAATAATTATACATCTGGCCAGGAGAGGTGGCTCACACCTATAATCCCAGTACATTGAGAGGCCGAGGTGGGTGGATCGAACACCTGAGATCAAGAGTTCAAGACCAGCATGACCAACATGGTGAAACCTCATCTCTACTAAAGCACAAAAATTAGCCAGGTGTGGTGGTAAGTGCTTGTAATCCCAGCTACTCAGGAGGCTGAGGCAGGAGAAACACTTGAACCCAGGAGACAGAGGTTGCAGTGAACCGAGATCATGCCACTGCACTCCAGCCTGGGCAACAAGAGCGAAGCTCAGTCTCAAAAATAAAATTAAATAATTATACACCCCTATAATAAAATAGTAAGTAGTCATTACAAATCCAAGTCACTTGAACAGTTAATGAAATCAGATTATGTTATTTTAGTAATCACTGCTATAATTTCCTACTTGTTCTCTAAAGTAAAGGTAAAAGACTTAGGTTTTGTGGGTTTTTTTCTGTTTTTTGCTTTTTGTTGTTGCTGTTTTCTGAGACAGGGTCTGGCTTCATTGCTCAGGCTGGAGTGCAATAGTACATACAATCTCAGCTCACCGCAACCTCCACCTCCCAGGCTCAAGCTATCCTCCCACCTCAGCTCCCAAGTAGCTGCGGCTACAGTGCACACCATCACGCCTGGCTAATTTTTCTATTTTTTTGTAGAAACGGGGTTTCGCTATATCGCCCAGGTTAGTCTCAAACTCCTGAGCTCAAGCAATCTGCCTACCTCAGCCTTCCAAAGTGTTGACATTATAGTCATGAGCCACCATGCCAGCCAAAATTTAGGTTTTTCTTTTTATTTTTTTCTGGGAGGGGGGTTGTAGGTTTGCAAGCTAGGAAGGGGTCATAGGGTATCAATTTAGGTTTTTCCTCAATGACAAAACAATGTTCATGACAGAACGATATGTTTTCAAAGAAAGTAAAATATAAGATCATGTACAAGGTAAATTTTATTTTTAAAATGCATGTGAATTAGGGCCGGGCGAGGTGGCTCACACCGTAATCCCAGCACTTTGGGAGGCCGAGGCACGTGAATCACAGGGTCAGGAGTTCAAGACAAGCCTGGCCAACATGGTGAAATCCTGTCTCTACTTAAAATACAAAAAATTAGCTGGGTATAGTGGCGGGCTCCTGTAATCCCAGCTACTCGGGAGGCTGAGGCAGGAGAATCGCTTGAACCTGGGAGGCAAAGGCTGCAGCCAGCCAAGATTACACCACTGTACTCCAGCCTGGGCGATGGAGTGAGACTCTGTCTCAAAAAAAAAAAAAAGCATGTGAGTGTACAGACACATTGATACACACACATATATAGTATTTTCTAAATTTTCTATAATAATAAACATATATTGCTTTCATACATTTTTTCGGATATACTTTTTTTTTTTTTTTTTTTTGAGACAGAGTCTTACTCTGTCACCCAGGCTGNCGGGTTCAAGCAATTTTCCCACCTCAACCAACTGAGTAGCTGGGATTACAGGCACCTGCCACCAAGCCCGGCTAATTTTTGTATTTTTAGTAGCGACAGGGTTTCACCATGTTGGCCAGGCCAGTCTCGAACTCCTGACCTCTGATCTGCCTGCCTCAGCCTCCCAAAATGCTGGGGTTACAGGAGTGAGCCACCCCGCCCAGCCAAATCAATATAAATTTTTTTTTTTCTGAGATGGAGTCTCAGCTCAAGTGCAGTAGCTGGGACTACGGGCACTAGCCACCATGTCCAGCTAAATTTTGTATTTTTAGTAGAGACAGGGTGTCACCATGTTGGTCAGGATAGTCTCAACCTCTTGACCTCGTTGATCCACCCAGCTCGGCCTCCCAAAGTGCCACTGTGCCCAGCCAATATACATTTTGTTAAATCAACTAAATTATATCGAAAATGAGTTTAAAACTTTTTTCTAATCCGGATTATCTGGTATTATGCTGGTCACAAGCATTTCACTGTTACCTAAGTATGGCAATTCTACATGTAAATTTGTCTTTTAGTTACTAATCCAAAATGAGCCATGATTGTCCAAAGGCAGATGAACTACAGAAAATGGCATTTCATTAATATCATAACCCAAAAGATGCAGAATAATGTGTATATTAAAATTATTTTGTGTCTCAAATTTTGTTTTTTGAGACAGTCTCATGCTGTCTCCCAGCCTGGAGTGCAGTGGCCCAATATTGGCTCACTGCAACCTCCATCTCCCAGGTTCCAGCGATTCTCCTGCCTCAGTCTCCCAAGTAGCTGGGATTATAGGCACATGCCACCACGCCCAACTAATTTTTTTTGTATTTTTAGTAGAGACAGGGTTTCACCATGTTGGCCAGGCTGGTCTCAAACTCCCGACCTCAAGTAATCTGCCCACCTCAGCCTCTCAAAGTGCTGCGATTACAGGCATGAGCCACTGCGCCCAGGGCGGTATGTGCTAAAATCTTTTAAAGACATTTCTTTAATACATAGAAACTTACAACCTGCTATATCCATATACATTTTTTTTTCAGTTCAATATTATAAGAAGCCATAAGAAATAGTTATCTTTTTTGGTGGGGGAAGAGGTTTATATCTCCTGTTTGATTTATGAACCATTTTCGTATTCTTTTTTATATTTGACATTTTTTTTTAATTTCTTCTTTAGTTTGCACTTACCATGGAGCACTTCGCCAGTACTTCCTCCTGGAATCTCAGGAATCCTTCCTGAACTTCAACTTCATTAAGGAAAAAGGAAAGGAAGTGAGTGAAGGGCTGTTTTCTTCTAAAAGTGTCCAAAAGAACATCAATCCGTGTTCGGGCTGAAATTACACCATTTCGATGCTGGCCAGTGATTACTGCAAACGAAGAAAGGGTTAACATGGTCAAGAACCCCC